AGCTTATCCAAATCAACCTCTTCACCAGGCTCTTTCATGTTTGCCCTCAAGAAAGTCCCGTCTTCTTGTTCTAAAATTAATCTCCACTTCCACAAATATTCTAGTCATGTCCAACCTTTCCCAAATCCTATCCCTATCATCATATTTTAGGAACTTCCTGCAATGATCCCTGATCTCCATAAAGGTAAGTATACTCCATGCGTGAAGGGGGATACCTATCACTCCTTACCACACCACCCTTCTTCTTGCTTCCCTAATTTCTGCTGCTTCTGGGAACCACCAACTTAACCGAAGGTCGTATTATCTCACCTTCGATATCTTTATCTCCATAATCCTCTCTGCTCCTCTACTATAGAACAAAATGAACAGAAGCAGCCCACCATTTAACTTCCTCACACCCATCAGACAATCCTTCCCCCATTCAAGAGATGCCCATGCTTCAACCTTCCCAACTTCAGGATCCATCCCCAAAAACCTCCCTACTAGGCTAGCATGCAGCACCTGCATCCTCGTATCCATCTTCCCAACTCTCCTCACTTCAACACACACCACTGCCACCTGCATCCTCTCATCCATCAACAAATGAAATCATGATCACGATATATCTCTGGTTGCTTATGAGATGGTTACTACTGCCCTCACCATTGGCATTTTGTATCCTCAGGGGCGAGAAGCTTCTAGGATCAACCATGGTGGTAGCCAATCTGGTACAGGCAACAGCACTGGTACAGAAACTTCAAGTAGAAGAACCGACAGATTGAGATTCTCTAGTGGCAACAGACTTCCTGGAGCTGTAATACAGGCAAGGGAAAGACTCCTTGAGAGATTGAGAGGTGTATCTCTTTCTGGAAACAGGTTAAAACTCATGTCCATGCATTCATGTGGATTTGCTAAGATGTTTCACGAAATTCTGTTTTATATCTCTTGCAACTTTGACATAAAATGCATTTTTTATCAACTTCGAGTTAACTTTGTGTTAGCTGAGTAAACAGGTTACTCATTTATAAAAAAGAAAAAGAAAAAAAGGGAAACAGGTATACTCACTTGCTCAGTATAAAATCTGTTGCCCATGTAGATCAACCACTTGCTGTTCAGCAAGAATGGTGGCGTTAGAGATGACATTGCTAGCCAATTACAGTGTAGGTGTAAGTAGTTATTGTCATCCATATACGTAATATCAGTACAACTCTGATGGCATCGTTTATTTTTTTTTTGTTCATTTTCTTCCTGATTGATTCATAGATGTTAAATGAAATCGGATTTGGTCCTCACAGTCCCTTGCAACTGTGAGCTGTGCACTGGGAATATCTCCCATTGAAAAAAATACACCAAGTATGGAGATGTTCCCAATGCACGGTTGCGGTTGCAAATGGCTGAGGACCAAATCCGATCTCATGTTAAATGTGCCCTTCTTGGTTTACATGTATGTAGACTCTTAGGTATCAGTTCAGGTGAAGACCTGTTTCTTCTAATTTTCGTTTTTGGGACTCTAATTCTAGGCAAAGCAGGGGTGGATCAACACCAAGCATTTCTTGGGATGAATTTGCATCCAGCGATGACTGGGATACTGAAATTCCAAGGGAATGGTTACCAGGCAGTGCCTCACTTGGTGGACCAACTGCTCAAGTGGACGCATTGTCATCCACGCAAGGCATGAACCAGAAGAAGCCAGCAGGACTCAGCCGAGAGGAGATTGACTGTTTGCACAGGGAGATCTTCAGCTATACTGGCAAAGGCCCATTGGATGCAACGCTAAGGCCAACAAATGAGTGTAGCATATGCCTGGAAAGGTTTCAAGGAGGAGACTGGTTAATTAGCCTACCCTGTGAGCATAGGTTTCACTCGGCGTGCTTAGATCCCTGGGTGCAAATTTGTGGGGATTGCCCATACTGTCGAACGGCAATTGTTGTAGGTCATCACCAAATGGGGATCAAGAAACCATTAAATCCTCACTGAGATGTTTTTGTAACTTAGTTTTTGTATCAATTCGGGTCTCTTTTAGTGGGAGAGAATAGGACAGTCTGTAAGGAAATTTACTAAAGTTTGTTGTCGATATGAAGGACATATATTTGTGTTTTGTCTGCAAGAAGTGGAAATAACGGTGGTGATATATTTGGCATCGATGCTGAGAAAATGGTGTTACTGATATGTGGGTTGGAAGTACCGGTATTGGTACCTATTATAGGAAGTTCACATTAGTATCACATCATGTTCTGTTGGTAGCAAAATCTGGTGTTGCTCTAAATCACAATTTTTCAATTTTCAAGGCATATTAGCGTTTTTTAGAACAGTTTTTTTCTGACATGGTGCTGATGTGTTACTGGCATAGATGCCAAACAAACGTGAAGGATAAGAAAAGTTGAGAGCTTTTTGGAGTTTCACATTGTGCATTGTTGTCTCGTTCTGCATATGCAATTGGATTAAAATCAATACTACCATCGTGAATTCATGATTATTAGTTCTATATATCTATCTTTTCGTAATATATATGTCTCGCAAAAATATGATACTGGAAGAATTTTGATAAATAACAATAATAGTCTGATAGGGAATTTGGAGGATTTTCGTTATTTTTGAAAGAATAAGGTGCTGTTTGGTAGTTTTTTTAAAGTATTTTCATGCTTTCGAAAATATGAAAGGATGAAGAATACATGTTCACGAAAAGCATTAACTCGCTTTCCATACTTAAGTATTTTTTGGTCCCAAAATAATTAAGACTTTTTAAAGCATGCATCAACTACATATGTGATATTTAAATTTTTGTCACATGTTAGTTAAATCGGAGCTCATGCTGAAATTATTAATTCTCTTTCATTAGTGTCCTCCACACCACATGTTAATCTGATTTCAAAATAATTTATTCGTTTTTTTTTATAAATAACAAATATTCCATAAACCGTTTTTGGTTGGACTTGTGGGACTGAAGTGTACTTGTACAAAGTCAAAAACTAAAAATCAAAAACGTTAACAAGGATGGAAGAGTTAATTAAGTAAGAAGCAACGCCACGTATATCATAAGTTCCTAAGTTTTTACCACCTGTCTATGACATCTAACAAGATTTATTGATATTTGAAAAGTGTGGAAAACAGACAGCACATCCGCACAAAAAACGTGCTAGTGTTATAATGTGGTGAAGATACGCGATAGGATTTCTGGGTCGACAAGTGTAGAACTCGTGGCACTATTGTAAGAGATGAAAGAGTACTTCTATAAAGAATTATAGATATAAGATTCAATGGAAAAGATCTTCCAGGTATCAATATTATACCTTTCCGCAATCTATATTTGAGAGAGAAGGAGAGAGAGAGAGAGAGAGAATGTCGAGGAGCGAAGAGCAGACAGTGCGCAAGACGGAAAGCGCAGAAGAAGAGAAGGACAAGTCCCCAGGAGGAGAGGAGCTGCCTGTGGAAAGCAGCCCTTACGTGAATTATTCAGACTTGGAGGACTACAAACGGCGAGGCTATGGTACGGAGGGCCACCAAGAACCGAAGCCGGGACGGGGTGCAGGCGCTACCGATGCTCCCACCCTTTCTGGCAGTGGTCTCTCCGAACGCAAGGTGGCAGCAATCCATGATGTCAATATCATTAATGGTAACCAAGGCGTTCCATGAATGAACGAACGAATGAGAGAGAGAGAGAGAGAGAGAGAGAGAGGTGGTATGGGGGGTGGACCAAATTCTACGATTGTATTTGCCTCGGCTCTCTGCTATTTGGTAAAATGTACAATAATAAATAACTAGTTAAGCTCTGCGTATTGATTTAGTTAATGCATCGGTGATGATCTTTCATCTTATTTCCCCTTGGTCTCGTGTCTGTTGATTGTTGTCTCGCCGCTTTCCGGAACAGTATTGCATACTTCTGGCAGCTTAGGCTCATCGTACATACGCCTTCATATATAAGCTCAACAACACTAACTGTTAAAAATAAAAAAGGTTTATGGGCGACCAAATGAATTGAATCAGCGAACACCAAGCGCTCTCAGGTAAAAAAGGCCAGTGGCACTGCCACCTCCATAATCCCAAAAAGATCACTTGTTTGGCTTGGCTATTCTGATCTCAAATACCCTTCAAGAGCCCATGCATCCACACTCCAATCAAGAGGAGCTAGAGAAGGCGCCATCCGTCGGGGACTTTTGTACTTACTGAGATACTTGGATTCTGGCACAATTGTTTACCTCTGATTATCTTCTTATTCCAGTTGGTAATATTGATTCACAACCTATAGCTACCAGCTGATTTGGTCCAGTCCCAAACCATTGTCAGGGTTTATCCTACTTCCTACATAGTACCCTCACCTCCTGGTTTTCAGACTGTGTAGGCACCCTGACCCTATCCATAGACGACGCGACGCATGACAAGTATTATAGAGCTTCAAGATTGCTGTTTATCAACAGAATATTTCATATTTCTCTCGTAACATAGAATGAAAATTAAGGCTGTTCATCAATCGATGAAACCAATGTTAAGAGAAGTTTTTCAGGCCCGAGAAGTCCGACCTGAAGAAATAGAAGATGAAAACGGTGCTGTTCACTGTCAGAGAGATGATAGAAGATGAAAAAGGAGAGATGACCTAGTTCTGGTGGAATTTAGGGTTTAAAGTTTACGAGGTAAAGTCCGTGGGCTAAAACGCATGCTCAAGCCCGCCTAGATAAAGCCGGGCCGGCCCATGAAGTAAATCAATTAAATCTGATTTGACTATATATAAGAGGGACTGCCGGCCCTATTTGTAAATCAATTAAACCTGATTTGATTATATATATGAGGGAAAATCTATGATGCGGAAAAGAGATGATATAGAAAGTATGATGCGGAAAAGAGATGATGTAAAAAGAATTTTGACCAATCAAGAGTTTCGACTACAATCAAGAGTTTTGACCAATTAAAACCCCTCATGAAAATATAAAGGGTCTGACAAAAATTTTACCTCTCCCCACCCATTTTCCTTGTCTACTCTTCATTGGCACAACTCTCAACAACAAAGAAAAACAAGGTTTCTATAGATGCCTAAGTCAACCTAGTGAAGATAAATTGGTCATAGCCGAGCAGAATGAAAGAAAATACCTCCAGTGGTATGCCTTAAATACTGATAATCATAAGTAAGGGTTAAAGTATTCAGTATCATATTGGATCACTCGGAAGAAAATACATATAAATTCTATAAATATGTGAATAATATTATATTTAAGATTAAAATATTCATAATTAATGTATAAATATATAAAAAATGTATATTCTAAAGGTATACATAAAGACATATACTACAGTTAATACTAAAGACATATACTACAATGGGATGCATTAAATCATAAAACTTTATTGATAATGTATCAATTAAGAATACTAGAACATATTATATATATTTTTTACAAATTAATACATGCATAAAGCTATTATTATGTTATTTTCTACTCAATTTCAAGGCACAAAACATATGCAATTATTATACATGAATTATTATATTGATTATTTTTTATTTTTAATTTTTAATATTAACCAAAAGTCAACTAAGAATTAATTCTCAAATGTTTAGTTAACAATATTTGTATTTTTGTAAACAATAAACATGTTATTATAAAATGTAATTAAAATATCAACTAAAAATTTATAAAAATATATAATATTAGCTTAAAATATATCAAATATGATAAATTTTTTAAGATATACATCATATGCAAATTCATAATTTTTAACTATTAAAATAATTATTCCATTATTAACATTTTTTTCATAAATTTTTGGATAAAATATCATTTTTTATATAAATGCAGAATAATGGATTTGACAAATTCAATTTATATTATATTTTTGAGTATTTTATAAATAAATTTTTTATATTTGTAAAAAATATATATACTTTTATTTAATTCAAATTAAAATAGTTTATTTGTATAAATTTCTTGAGATTAAAAACCACTTTTTGATATAAATATGGATTTAAGAAATTATTTATTCTAGTAGTTTACAAAATATTAGTTTTGAATATTATTTTTTATTGAGTTGGACACAAATGTATGTTATTTGTCCGCATTAAATGTGGACACTAGAATTTGTAAAATAATATTCTATTTCTCTTGTTGTCATAGCATGAAATGTGGTCTAGTGGATTAAGAGTGCAGATAAGGCTTTAGCTCTGGGTGATTTGGGTTTAAACCACTCTAGTTGCATTTTTTACCACTAATGTGCAAAGATAAAGACGTTGATTTGTAGGGTCGATACCGATACCGATACGATACACTTGTATCGAACGTATCGTATTGATATTAAATCCTTACTCATAAGAGAGTGTCATTGTTCTTCTCACTTTGTGGGATGCATGGCATGTCTTGAGGTCATTTTCGATCGAGGTTCTTGGAATCAGTATCCATGTCGACCAAGCTGAATAGCTCATCTAGGTGTCATCCATGAATCCATGTTAGTATCCATGTGGCGCTCCAACGAGGGTGGTCTATGCTCCCATTAGTTTAGAAACTCAAATCTCTTCCTACTGAATCACTTCCTCTTAATCATTGTCATTGTCATATGGAAGCTACAATCTTTCTAGTCCTGGGTTCGGGGAGGGTTTTGTAAATTCTAGACCCTACCTACCTCCCTAAAACTCTCTACCCATACCTGCTCAAAACCCATAGTGGGTTGGATTTTGAGAATCCCCGCACATAAAAGTACAAAACCCTCCTTGACCCTACCCTCGCCGCATTCAAGGGTAGGGTGGATTGGGTTTAAAACATACATCTAATTTCCTATTATTTCTTATCATATAGAAGTAATAAAAAGTAAAATAACACAAATAAACATCAAGATTTTTAATTATTTGATTAAGACATGTAATAAACAAATAAGCTAGCAATTATCCTTCACATAAAATTTAAAATATTATTAAATTCAACACCTAGTACATAAAGTTTATATGTTTCCCAACAATATGGGAGTCGGGTTTATCCTAATACCATACCCTATCCATATCCGTACAGGTTGCACGTAGAATCCCAAAATCCATACCCACCCCAAAACCCATCGTTTTAATAAAAAACCCTGCCTCGAGGACGACAGGAGTGGGTACCCACGAGGTAGGGTAGAAATTGCCATCCCTACCTAGAAGCTTGGGGCATCACATTCAATTCCCCTCTTTTTCAATATCCATTGTTAGGACTTTACATAGATGCCCATTCTCAATAAGATTGCTTGTGCTTAGCAGTTTCACTAGGTCCCACCTTAGAATGTTGTAAAGTCATTTGCGGAAGACCTTTGCCTTTGATGATCAGGTGGACCCATT